TCATGTCAAGTTTCTTAGGTGCCTCTCCATCCAAGTTCATCATCAAGCGATCTCGAAATCCATTTAGCATTTGTTTTATAGAGAGAAATGTAGAGATAGAGTGACCTAGTTTAGAGAGAGGGAGGGTTGGAATGAATGAGGGTGAGGGGAACCTCATTCTCTTTTTTTGTTTCTTCTGCCACGCGTGTTAAGTGATGATGATGGTGGCTGTTTGTGCCCGGCCTTGTTTCTTCGTCTATCCCGTATGTGTCTTGTTGGCATCCCATATCATGCACATGCATTGCTGGCCATGGGATTAAGAGTCAACATTGACTCGCCACCAGATCAACACCCCTAATTTCTTATGCAAGTCAAATGTTTGACGGAGGTCCATGGTGAACCTCCCCTACAGCGTGGGCATCAGATATTGGGCCCTTGTATTCTTCTAAACGCACCTCCCTTTTGAACTATCATGGCCCATTCTTTTTTCCTTTTTATTCATTTATTTATTTGTTTTTTTTAGGTTTTAATGTTTTGTTTTTTGTAATATATTTTAAAAATCTAAAAATTTTATTTTAATTTCTATTTTTTAAAGAAAAATTGAAATATTGTTAATTAATTAATTTAATTACAAAAAATTATTTAATAATAAATAATTTATTTAATGATTAATTTTATTAAATAATTGATTTTAATTTGATTAATTAGTTTAAGTTAGCTTCCTTAATTCTAAAAAACCCAAAAAAATGTTTTATTTTAATTTCAATAAATTTTATTTTAATTAATTTTAACCATTCTATTTAGTTTAATTTGTTCAAGTTTAATTATTCACGTTTTCCTTAATTTTAAAAATCTAAAAATACTTTTTCATTGATTCTTAAACTCTTATCAATTAATTCCTAATTAATTATATTAAACCTTTTTATTTAATATTAATTAACTTTAATAGTTTTATTTAAGTTTAATTTAATTAATTACTTAAGTTTATATTAATTATTTTCTTTAATTATAAGCATCTAAAAACAATTAATTTGTGAATTCCCTTCTTTTACCTTTAATTAACCTTAGATAATTAGGTTATTAATTAGTTTAGTTGTCTTGACAAACATCTTTGCCTTTTTGCCTAATTTATAATTGTTGTGTGGTGTTGATTCACTTTACTCATGTGTGTTATTATCATGACTTGATTTTTTTTATGTCTTTCATCATATGCTTGTGCAAACCAACTCTTTTCAAACTAATACATTTACTTAATGTCAAGCCCTTTTCAAATATCTTGTAAGTCGATCATTTTCACGATCGTCATCGACCTCACATAGCCTTCTCTTGGGATTTATACAACGATACTTGTTGCACATTTCACACTCTTGTTTGCATGCATATTTGTGATTGATTTACTTTAATTATGGCTTGATATTATCTGATCTCACCTGATCAGAAAGGAGTCAGTGACCTACCACGCGTTGCGATCTGATGCCTTCACCGGAGTTGTGGAGGAGAAAGAGGGTGTACCTACAAAATGATCTGATGCCTAGGTAAGTATCGGAACTAGAGAGAGCAAGTACAGAAAAAAGGTGTGGAGAATAGAATACTTGACCCTCTAGTGAAAGAGGGTATTTATAATGTGCCCTCAGCGTAGGGCCAACTGTTACATTACATTGGGCTGGATTACCAAGCCCAACACAAGTAACTTCCAGGGCTTACGTGGTGTAGTGAAGACCATTACGTGGTTTTTGTCCTGGATCAACTGCCCCGTGATCTTCAAAAGGTGGGTTGACCATCTCTTTCTGAAGTGGGTAGTTACCTGATGACGTGTCCCGCGTGGGGGGACACGTGGAGAACATGGGGAAAGCGTGTGGACCTCCCCGTCCGGAGGTCTTCTTCCTGGAGGATGAGCCTTGTTGAGGCTCCTCCCCGACGTAGAAAATTGGACCTTGTTGGGCCTCATCGTTACAGCTTTGGGTTGGTCCTACCCTGCGGAAGGGCGGGTCTTGGCCTAGTTCAAAACAGGAGCCCTCGAAGTCGCTGTTCCGAGGTGAAAGAGTAGTGACTTAAGGGCAAGTTGAAATGTCGAGGTCCTCTTCGGGAGAGTGCATCTACCCGACGTATGGAGTCGAGGGTCGTTTATGGTTCCAGGAGAAGAAGTATGTCAGGGATGTTAGGAGATACACGGGGAGCCGGACGGGGAGACAGACGACTTGCTGAGCTTTTGGAGCCACCACGTGTCAGGTAGCCACTGCTTGTCTAGAACAGCCATTCCAAGTAAGTTTTGGATTTTTTTGTTCCGTCTTTCACCTTTTTTGTCTTGTTTTGCCTATTTTCCGATGATCCCACGGTGGACATGATGAATGTCTCAGGGAGATCGTGAGGTTTTCTGGTGAATACGTCGGGCACCCCTAGAAGAAAAAGTAGGGTTAGGATGAATGGCCCGGGGACAAGTGTTGAAGACCCAAGGCAGGTTGGTCAATCTTGGATGAATTCCCCGGGAATAAAAGATGAGTTCCCCAGGCATATAGGATAGTATTTGATAAGTCCCCCCATTGAGCTAGGAGGCTCTCATGGGGGCACTCTAGTTTGGACACAAATCCCACTCTAGAGCTTCACGCGCCTTCGCCGGGGACCAACGCTGTGGGGCCTCAGCGAGGATGCTCTCGTTTGTCGAGGCGTTAGAGGTCCTTCCTGTGGGGGTCTCCCCTCTTCGCCCTTTCACTTGATTTGCGGTAGAAGGGTGGATTTGATTCTAAATGTCGAATTCACCAATTTCCTCTTCTTTTCAGGTGTAAATGGGTGCTTGGGCCCAAGGAACTGTCGAAATTGACAATGAGCCAGATTCTCCGATGGCGTCGGCCAACGAGGAGCGTATGAGATCCCCCGATGATTGGGCCGGGGAAAAGCCTTTGAGTATCTCCTTTCGCTTTGCTGAGGACAATTTTGACACTTAATTCCAACATCGAGGATCGTGTCGAGGGTTCCATCATCAACTGGCAGGTGTACAAACCGCAGGCAACCTATCGGGTATACTCGGCGTACGAGGGAATAAGGTTTCCTATGTACGAGTTTCCCTTCTGGGAGGCGGGGTTACGCCTGCCCTTCACAGACTTTCAGTTAGGGGTATTCGATTGGCTTCGGCTGTCGCCCTCACAACTGTATCCCAACGCAATCGCGTTCGTGCAGGCGTACGAGCTTGTTTTCCAGTACCTTGGTGTCAGGGCCACTCTTCCGCTCTTCTTCCGCATCTTCCACCTCCAAAGACAGACTACCGATGGCCGACATAGTTGGGTGTCTTTAAAGCAGCCGAGGAGGATTTTTTGTGCATACATGGATTCTATCCGTCATTTTAAGGATTGGTGGTACGTCGTTAGGTCGGTCACTCATGTGGCCGCATATTTCCTTTTTGACCTCAAGGTATGAGAAAAAGACGGACAACCCGAGGAAGTTTTGGTGTTGAAGATCCCTTTGGTTTAGATGGAGGAGAACTTTAACAAAGGCACCGACAATTACATAGTGTGGACGGGTCGCTAAACACCAAGGACCGAGCGACTTACCAGAAGCTGGTCGCTTTCATGGCCAACTTTCGTCTTGCGAAGTGTGTAACTCTGGATGGGAACTTCATCCTCGACGCTAACGGGGAGATTCGCACGGAGTCGTGTTTAATCAACACAAGGGCCCTCCTCGAATGTGCTTCTGATGAGGAGGCTTTGCGTCTCTTAGGTAGTAAGTTCGCTTTATTTTCCGCGTGCTTGTCGTTGGTTTGATATGCTAATCTTGTTTATTTCTATTTTGCAGGAAAGATGTCGAGCACACATGATCGTGTGAAGAGGCTGGTGGCCATCAAGGCCAGAAAGAAATCTGGAAAGGGGAGGGTAGCTCAGATGAAAAACAATAAAAGAAACAAGTAAAAAGAAAAGCGTAACATGAAATCATTAACAAAGGAATGTTTGAAGATTTATTCAAGTGTGAAATACAAATGCAAAAGAGAACATTAGATTGTTGGTGCTTCTTCATCGAAAACTTGTTTGTTACCAAAATGATGTCAAATCCTTCATAAAGGAAAGTTTGAAGCTTGATTGAAGTACAAAATACGCATGCAAAAGAAAACTAGCTAACAACCTATAAAATCATAACATTGTTGGTGAAATACCATGGATAACTAATAGTTCTTAGGAAAACTACCTCAAATATTTCATAAAATAATGATCGGAGCCCAATTGAAGTGCAAAATACACATTGTGTTGAAATACAGTTCATAAAGCATAAAAAATAAAGATTGTTGGTGAAAAAAATTCAGAAAAAGTATTTGTTACCAAAAACAGCCTAAAATAATTGATAAAAGAAATGTATGAGACTTCATTCAAGTGCAAAACACACATGCAAAATCAATATAGTTTAGAAACCGCAAGGTTGCTTCCCGTTGCAAATCTATCTATGATCAATCTCTAACCAAACACCTTCACTTTCATTGGAATCTTGCTTTTCCACAATACAAATAAAGTTGTTTCAGATGTAGGATCCATCACATTTGCGCCCACAACCTACAGTAACTTATTATAACAAGACTTGACAGAAAACAAGTTGGAAGGCCCATGAGGCCACAATATAATACCAGAACCCTCCTTGTCGGGGAAGACTTTGCACAATAGTTGCATTAGTTCATTAAACTCATCCCTAAGTATGTTGTAAACCTCCAGATTATTGAAACATAGCCTCCATTTCCAAATAGCCCCCTCCCAAACCCTTATATCCCTTACCACCCCTTGCTTCCTATCAAACACAACAAACATAGCAGGAAAAAGTTTCATTAAAGTTGTATGGCCAATCCGCCTAACAGACCAAAAAGGAATGATGGATCCATCTCCTAGCCCACACGTTACCAACTTAACAAAGTCACTCTCCTCTAATGAGTCTCCAAACTCCATAGGGTCCCTCCACCAAAGTCATTCTAGAAAATTTACTCTTGGCACATCCCCATACCTATGAACCAAAATCCCATTCCATATTGCATATCTCTCCTTAGTAAACCTTCATAACCACTTTGTTAGCAATGCCCTATTGAATAAGCCAATATCTTTGATCCCAAACCCACCATTCACCTTAAGCTTACACAGAGTCTTCCAACTTACCCAAGCCATGCTTCTTTTCTCCATCGAGCCAGACCACAAGAAGTTCCTATGAATTGAGGCGATATACTGGATCATCTTGGCATGGGCATCGAAGAAGGAAAGATGATGTATAATAAGATTCATCAGTACATAATTGATGAGAGTGACTTTGCCCCCAATGGACAACAACCTACCATTCCATGGTGAAAGCCTAGCCATAAAGCATGATATGATCGATTTCCAAAAGGATACCCTTCTATGGTTTCCACCCACAGTGAGACCTAGGAATGTGAATGGGAGAGCATCCTTCTTACATGTCAAGAAACTTGCAGTAGTATTCATAAAAGATTCCTCGATCCTAACCTCATACAAACAACTCTTCCAAGTATTAATTTTCAAGCCCAATGCCATTTCAAACCACCCTAGTATGAATTTCAGTGCCCAAAAGTTAGACCAAGACCCATCACACACAACGACTATTTCATCAACAAATTACAGCAAACTATATGATACTTCATCATTGATTTTGAATCCTTTCAGAATATCCAAGCTTACATCCCTTCTGACCAATGCAACAAGTCTTTCAACCACAATGGAAAACAAAAAAGGTGACGAGGGATCTCCTTGTCTCAACCCCTTCAACACCTTGAAATCTTTAGTTGGACTCCTATTCACCAATACTGGAATATAACTATAGAACACTCCTCCATCCATCCACTTAAGCCCAAGCCCCATACCCACCATCATTTTCTATAGGAATTTCCAATCAACACAATCATATGCCTGCGCGAAATAAACCTTGAATAGAAGAAAAATCTTTTTCCTTCTTTTGGCAAAGTCTAGCAACTCATTAATTACCACAACACCATCAAGCAATTGTCTACCCAATATGAAGGTTGTTTGAGTCTTAGAGATCGACCTGTGAATAACACATCTCAAACGTGCATCTAGTATATTAGAAATTACTTTATACACACACCCTATGAGGTAAATAGGTTTGTATTCATCCAAACCTTGAGGGTTTTTTCACATTTAGGGATCAAGGCAATAAAAGAGGATACCATAACTTTAGGTAATGTTACAGAATAATGGAACTCTTAGATACACTTCACCACAACACATCCAACAACTTCTCAACATCTCTTCAAAAATTTCATGTTGAATCCGTCTGACCCTGGACTTTTGTTACCTTCACAATCGAACACCACCCCTTTGATTTCCTTTATAGAAAACCTTTCTTCCAACCTCTAACTCTCCTCACCAGTTAGTTTAGAGAACTCTGACTAATCAAGGTTTGACCTCTGGATGAAATTTTTAGAGAACCTTGATTTAAAGTGTTCCTTAATAGCCTCCTTGACAAGACTCACACCTTCTACCCTTTCAAAGCCACCTTGGATTGATGTAATTGAATTCCTTCTAGTTCTGCATTTGAGCATTGAGTGGAAGTATTTGATATTAAGATCGTATTCCTTCACCCATTTTAATCTTGATTTTTGTTTAAGCATGCTTTCTTTCAAGTGTAAGTTGTTCCAAATATCCTTCTGAGCCACACTTCTCTTCAACAATTATGTTACTGAAGTTTTGCCATAATCCCTCTCCATATCATTTAGTGTATTCACCCTTTCATAAATCTTAAGGTCAACCCATCCAAAGACCTTCTTATTCCACTACCTCAAGTTATCCCTTAGAGGTTTGAATTTATCTTTTAGCACATGTGCAACACTACCTTCAACATGATAGGAATTCCATTATTTCTTCACAAATTCTAGAAATTCAGGATACTCATACCAACAGTTAAATACCTTAAAAGGTTTTGGTCCCTAATTAACATTGTTTGCCTTGATCTACACTGATATGTGATCAAAAATGTCCATATCCCCAACTTCTTAAGCCATAATGTTCCACTTATTGATTAACCCCAAAGAAACAAGAAATATATCAAGTCGACTTTCAAAACTACCCTTCGAATTGAACCAAGTGAATTTATTTCCCACTGATGGAAAATCTATTAATTCCATTATATAAATAAAAGAGGCAAACTCATCCATCTCAGCAAAGCAGGACCATCCTCTACCCTTAATTTCCTCCTCTGATTTAATAGCATTGAAGTCCCCCCTCCACCAGCCACTCCCCAGTAAGTAAGGGTGACAAAACGGGTCAGACCCGCTAGGCCGACTTATTTAACTCGCCATTTTTGGAAGTCCGGGCCGAGGTTTTCGGCTCGGTGCCTTAAGTTGGCCAGCCCCGCCTAACTCGCTTTAAAAATGGGTCGAGGCAAGGCAAGGAAGGTTTTACCCGCGGGCTTTCAGTTAAAACTTTTTTTTACTTAGAATTAAAATTGAACAATGTATTGGGGAGGCCAATCCATTAACTTTTTTTTCCTTATTGATAAAAAATAAAATTTAAATACTTACATCTAACGTTACCATGAATTGAAAAACTTGTTTCATGTTGTTTTGCTTACATGGATGGTGGACGCAAGTTGCAACCACGAAACTCAATAATTTATGAGATAGTAATTAAAAAATTAAGAAGTAATGAAATAATAAACTTTTTTTATATTATTATTTTGTAAAATACTACAGTTTTTTATATATATTATCATATAATGACTCTTAAGAGTGTGTATTATTATTTGAAAGGTAATGACATATGAAATAAAAAAACCAATCAAATATAGAAGTTTGTAAACAAAGTAGTAAATTAAATTTTAGATAAAGTACTAAATTAAATTGTAAATAACGTAGTAAATTATTAAAAAAAGTTGTAAATAAATTAATAATTAAACTAAAAAAAATAAAAATTTACTGAGTCGGTCCGCCAACTCGTTAATAAACGGGGCAAACTTTACTTTTGAGCTCGGCCACTTAAGTTGACCCATTCCCCCTGACTTTTGCCCGAACTTAAATGAGACGGATCTAAACCAGGTAGATAGCCCGCTTTACCACCCCTACCAGCAGAACATTTTGCTTTCCACTCTATCAGCACCGACCACATAAGCTGTTTATCTGCTATACTACACGAAGCATACACATTGACAAGGTAACAATTTATACCTTTCCAATGTACATTCAATCTCAAAAATCCTTTACCCCTGAAGCTAAAAACTGGAAAAAGTGCTTTCTTTCTCCATATTGTTAAAATTCCACTAAATTGTCCAATGGAATCTACAGCAGACCATTGGCATTCCATCTTTTCCCACATACTATATGAATCATACCGTCTCCTATCTTTTGAATCTCTGTCTCATGTATAAAGCAAATGTCGGCCTTTGCATTTGATAGAATCTATTTTATTCTCCTTTTTATTGAATTGTCGCACTCTCTAACGTTGAAACTGACAATATTCAGGGAACCTAATAGGTGCCACCATTTTTGCTTCATATCTTTTCATGTCCCTTGTCTCAATATCTCTAATGATTCCTTCAAATAACTTATCCTCCTCCTCCCTTTAATTCTTAGATCTTTGATAGTATGTCGCCCTTTTGTTGAACATTTTCAATTGTCCTTCTGATATGTGAATTTCCTTGATTGACACCTGAATCATTAATAGATTCGCAGCATATGATGGATTCCTCTGAATATCTTGAAATTGAATCTTCGACTTCGAAACATAAATGGGATGGGCATGGTAAAGTCTTACAAGACATGATAGAAGAAAGACCATTATTAGCTTAATGAATTAGGGCCGAGAAATAGAAACGAAAATAAGGGGTTTTTAAATTCTCATAAATTTCATTTAAGAACTTTTTCTTTCTAAATTTGAAACACATTACATATCTTGTTTTTATATAAAAAAACCGATTATCAAAATTTAGATTGAATTGAGTTGACTCAACATTCTAAACCATAAAATTAAACGAGACTGTATAAAAGACCAAATATGTTAGTAAAAAAAACTCCTATGATAAAACAAAATATATAATTTTAAGAATATAACATAACCTCAAAAATATTTGGGACGAGATTAACTATATTGTTTATATTATAGCTCATAGTATATATATGAATGTGTTTGTGTAGACTTTATCTCTTTTTAAATATTAATATATATTTATATATTTATTATTAAAATAAGAGTTTAATTGTTATACACTGACAATGTAAAAATATTGTGTACTGTCATTTAATACAAATATATCATTCTATCATATTATATAATTATTTTAAAAAAATTTATATGACTTAACAGGATGTATGATCGTCATTAATTGACAGTATAAATTTTTTTTACAAATACATCACCTTTTTTTTAAAATTATAATGGTTGATGGAGTGTGAGAATATCGAGTATAAATATTAGTGTTGAAGTGAAATTAGAGTGGTGTGCGACGTTATTTTTTTGCTACGAGTGCGTCATATTGTAGTTTTCTACACTTATGAATTAGTTTTAAAAATTACTATCGTCTAGTTAATCTAGATTAGATGTGAAAAATGTTGGAAATTTTGGTGTGATAATCTTGGATATCTTCGAGGAATTGTGTTCGTACACTTTCCGAACAAAGTATTTCGACCCTATTATTTGTCTGGGCTCACGAAATCTTTGTGGGGATAATTCTTTGAAGAACAATTTGTTTCTGGCAATAGAAAACAGATCAAGAATGTAGAGAGAATATGAATTTTGTTCAGTGTGTAAAACTGAGGCCAAATGACTCCTTATATAGGAGATTAATTAACAGAAAACGAAAAGGGACATCTGTTCAAAATTTTTGAACGGGTTCATCTTTTCAAATTTAATTTCGAACGGGTTTAAAACTTAACAAAAAACTTTCAAAAGGGGACCCCAGCCAGGGGCTCTGCCCCTTGGAACCCCACGGGGCGCTGCCCCGCACCCCGCTAGGGGCTTTGCCCCTTGGAACTCCAGTGGGGTGCTGCCCCGCACCCTGCCAGGGGCTCCGCCCCTTGGAACCCCTTTTCAATTATTCGCATTCAATTGTACGTTGGTTCAACGAGCGTGCACTCCGCATTACCCTAACTCGTTTCCAAGCTTAACGTATAATTGCATCGGTCTACAGTAAATCACATTACTACTAAAATACATTGATGATACTAAAATCACCAACAAATCCCCCCCATTTTAGTGTAATCCTTGATTTACTCCATATAATAATATATACACAGGTATAACAATCAAACAAATGCATAGATGAAAATGTCTTACGATTGAATTTTCATTTTAGTACAAATACACATTTCAAATACTCGAAAATCGAGGTGTCATAGCGTTTGAACCCGTCAATCCATTTGAATATCTGAAGATATAGTACACATATGTTTCTTACAATACTCTACTATTCATACTTGACACTTTACAAGCCATGTGTCCTTATCCATTAATAAGCATATAGGAAGCCAAGTCCAAGCTTCTTGAAGCGGCAAAACTTCATGCTCACATAGGTGATCCTTTTAATC